GCTGTTAAGAAAGGGAGGGCATGACCTCAGCTGGGGAGAAGCTGGAATATCCTGTTGCTCTAATTCTCACATCCGCTAATATGGGGCGAGATGAAAAACATGTCATCTATTTTAGTATGTGGCAGATGTTGCAGTCCTCTCATGCTTCTCTAGCCTGTTGCTAAAAAGTGGGCTGAAAGCTGCACCACAGACACACTTTGAAAAATCACAGAAACTTAGACTTAGACAACTTTTATTATCATTTTGTATACACAGACTAAATTCGTTTTGTACAGCTTTAATGACATTTCAATTTCTTAAAGTGCAGCAGTGATCAGATGTAAACAGTGTGGGAGAAAAAACATGGTGCAAAAAAACGCATTGATATTGAAGTTCAGGGCATAAAATATATACGTGTAGGAGTCATAAATAAAAAGATGCTTTGATGTTCGTTTGTCTGAGTTTATAGCTGTTATGGTTTTGTTTTTATTTGTTGGTTTGGTTGTTTGTTTTTAGGGGAATGGATCAATAAGATATGGGAAGAGTTTTATAATTGGGCATATCACTCACCTGTGGGAGTGAACGAGCACGTCAGACAAGGAACTGTCCGACCTCAGCCTCTCAGCAGCTTTTTTTGTTTCCTGAAGTTGCAGCAATACGGTGCAAATAAGCAGGGTTTTGGTTTGGTGTTATCAGTGTGATGCAGAGTCTGTGATATGATTTAGAGTTTTCTCAACAGTTCAGCTGTCTGATGGCAGTGGGGAAGAAGCTGTTTCAGATTCTCCTAGACCTGCATCGAATGCTGCGAAGCCTCTTCCCAGAGGGCAGCAGGGAGAACAGTCCATTGTGGGGGTGTGAGGGGTCATTGATGATGTTACAGGCTCGGGCACGCATGACTGGGATGAAATGTCTTTAATGGAAAGAAGAGGAGCCCCGATGATCTTCTCTGCTGTTCTCACCTTCTTCTTGTCTGAGGCGCTGCAGCCTGCACAGTGAGGCAGTTGGTCAGAACGCTCTCTATGGAACAGTGTAGTTCCAATTAAGAAAAAAAAAAGTCTAAAAACATTAGAATGTTAAGATGTAGAATAATAGGAGCTTGGTCAATTAATGGCACCTTGGTCAAAATGAAATAGATGCAGATATTATTTGTTTTGCCACCAGAGCCGATCATCCTCAGAACACTTGGATATTGTCATTTAGACCTTCCTTAGACAGTAAAGGTGTTTATATTTGTTTTTGGAGAGAGCTAATGCTAACCATGGTGTTACCAACTCTCTAATTACAACTCATCTCTAATTACACCAGAAAAGGACCAATAATGAGCTGGCAAACTGAGCTTGGATTTAACCTCAGGAAATCAAGAGACTATATTTATCCTTAGAAGGTACTATCTGACAAACACAGAGTATTACTGGTTGGTTTTACTCAGACTAATCATTACTGTTCCCTGAACTGACGGAGGTCTTTTCGTACACGTAAGAGTAGCAGTTTTTTTTTTTTTTTATGTGGTATATTTGGATGGTAAATAGGATCCCTGAAGTCATTTCCTGTTTGTATTTTAAATGTTGTATCAGAGGGAACTAAGTCCCAGCATGCTATCTCAGAAGCTATACCATCTGTACAGTATATGCCAGCCAATCATAGGCCACTCCTGAGGCCACCACCACCAGGACCCCATGTGGATGTAATTCACAAGCAGTTCCCCTCTAAAACAGAGGGTGGCAGCAGTGATACTCTCAACTAGAAAGTTAATTGTTCATTTAATTGTTTGTATGTTAAAAGGCGACAATGGAAATAGAGTTGTTAACTAGTCATATCAATATAAATATTATACATTAAAGTTGATATTTACAGAATTCGTGCTCTTTTCAGAGCTAGTTTTTGTGTTTTATGAGAGAGAAGGGGAAGTAATGCATTTGAAAGTCATCTAGGCATCTTCTTGGTAATTAATGATAAATAACTAAACCAATTTAATCTATGTCTTAATATATGTATATTCTAATATTGTGCAGAAAAAATATTAAAATTAAAATGACAAATGTATAGCATACATTTTTTTCCAAAAATGAAACACTGAAGTTGTCAGGATTCTGCTCTCTGTTTAAGTTTAGTATTATTAGTTTCTTTGTATTTGTAGTTGTCTTCTAGCAGTGTTTTGTTCTTGAGTTACTCTCTGTTGCCCCCTTGTGTTTGTTTCCATTCCCCTTGGCTTTCTTCTAGATGCTTCCACCACACCTGCTCCTTGTCAGCTCATTAGTCCAGTCTTTGTTCTGTCTCCTATATATATATTCTCCCAGTCCAGTTCCTTAGTGCTGGTTCCTCGTCTTTTTCTGGCTCCTCATGTATGTTTCACCTAATGTCTCCTAGATTCAGTTTTTTTCAGTGCTTTTTTTTTTTTGTGTGTGTGAATGTTTGGATTTCTGCCTCAGTTGCTTCAATAAACCTCTGACACTCAACTATGGTTCTCCTCACCTCTGCATTTGGATCCTCAAAACCTCAACCAAAAGAAGCTATGTGAATTACTGCCCATGTGCAAGATCATCCCATCTGTTCTTCCTCCAATCACACAGTTACACTCTGGTCTATTCTTTTTTCTTCTGAGTAGGGTTAAAACAATTAATCGGATTAATCAATTATTGAAATAATCAGCAAATAATTTCGTAATCAATTAATCATTAACTGGAGTATAGACACTCTAAAACATGCCTTTAGCTGACAGAGCGACCCACTCAGAGCAGTTATTATACCAAGATTGTGAAAAACAGTATAAACAATTTTCATTTAAAATTCAAAAAATGTTTTGTCTGTCAATATGCTCTATCCAGAACTCCTCAAGTGGAAAAGTTTTAGTTTCACTTGGTTTAATTTCGTTTAAAAATCCTCTTTAATGAACCTTTGGTTATCCGACTATTAATTGATTAATTTAAAGAAATAACAGATTAATCGATTTTCAAAATAACTGTTAGTTGCAGCCCTACTTCTGAGTCATTCCTCCTTTTCTCATAAAATTGTAAGATTGCATCATGCAACTCTTACCATTAAAAAATATAAAGTTAGAGCTGGAGCTACCTGGAAGCTAAGCTAATTGAAAACAGTAACACTAGAAGTGTTAGGCTGGTCCCCCAGGAAGGCAAAGTCGAAAGAAGATTGTCTACTATACCTTTAATGTAGAGAAAATTGATTTGCAAATGTATGTTTATTTATTAGTAAAGCCTGTTTATCTTTATTTGGAAAAAAATAGATGTGTTTGCTTATTTTCCTGTTGGTTTGGTGTAGGTCGTAGGTCTTCAACAGGGGTCCGTGACCCCTAGGAGGTCCACAGAGGTACTGCATGGGGGTTGTGAAAGTTTTGGTTGATTAGACTTTATTTTTTTATATTTCCCCTACAATTTTTTCTACTAATTGAAATGTCTTTAAATCCACATTAACATGAATTCAACACACAGTTGTAAACAGATAAATGGAGGCAGAAGATGTCTTTCAGTCAACACATTCAGCGACACATAAGAGCTCTTTAAAGCTGGGCACTGTTTCATTCACAACACCTGTCCCATCAACCAGGAATCAGAAATACTTTAATAATCCCAGGGAGAAATTACTTTAATTACATGACTCCATATGTAATAGAGTGACTATAGGACCAGTTTGATATAACTGATAAACTGAGTAAAAAACATTTTTCACTGGATAAATAGCATAACTACGGAGCCCCTCTGATGACATGGTCAAAAAAAATTTTTAATTGTGGCCATGAAGTAGTATTTCGTGGCCACGCAATAAGTATAACGTGCGCACGAAATACTACTTCGTGGCCACGCAATAAGTTTATCGTGCGCACGAAATACTATTTTGTGGCCACGCAATAAGTTTAACGTGCACACGAAATACTTATTAATAATATTAATATCATTCCTGGACAACTGGGTAAGCAAATCGAGCGCGCCTTCTCTAAGGTCTAAGGCGCGCTCGATTTGCTTACCTAGTCGGTCTCCGCCAGTCACGTGACATTTGTTGCTAAGACGCTATTTTAGGTGGAAAAGGCGTAGTGTAAACAACCGCAGCATAGCTAAACGAAGGACTAGAGGCCTGTTTACATAGCAGCCTGTCCAAGATAAGTCATTACAGTATACATAAGCCTGAAAACAGGCGCGGATTTATTGATATTATTAATAAGTATTTCGTGCGCACGTTAAACTTATTGCGTGGCCACGAAGTAGTATTTTGTGCGCACGTTATACTTATTGCGTGGCCGCGAAATACTACTTCGTGCGCACGAAATACTACTTCGTGGCGACAATTAAACATTTTTTTTGACCATGTCATCAGAGGGGCTCCGTACATAACTAAATATATGAAAGAAGATAAATCAAAATTTTCTGACCAAAGTCCTTCGGATCTATTTATGTTTTACTAATTTATTATTTTTTTTTTAATACGGTGATAGCTTTAGTGGTATTAAGATAGGATCCCAGATTTCATCTGCTATTTTTTTTTTTACAAATTTTAAAAAGTACCCACATTTTTTTACAGCTGAATTTAACAGTTTTTCTTAAATTGTAATTCTGATTTTATAGAAAACGGTTATTTTAACTGAAATTAAGTCAAATTATGAATGTATATCGCACTAATATTCCAAATAATAGCTTTATTATTTTATCATATGAGTTAAAGTCAAAAATAAATATTTTCAATCACAAGAAATAATTAATTAAAACAAATAGAATGGAAATGTCACTTCATGCAGCTCTCTTAATATATTTGAATTCCTTGCCCTATTTTTGTTTCATGCTTTCCTGTGCCCCCATGAAAACACACTGGCCCCCTTCTGGCCCCGTGGTACAGTTGGTCTAGAACCGCCACTGCTATCAGGGATGGAGCCAATCAGCTTTGCAATCAGAGGAAACTAAAATGAAGCGCTGAACCTGTTCTGAATTATGATTAACAACATTGTTTTGTTTTTAAGACAATGGAAATCACGTGATGCCATATATTTAGCGTGAGTCACTTCCTTTGCACCATCACAGGTGCTTCCGAGAAGTTGCCTGTGTGACCTCCGGTGTGGATCCCCCTCCCCTCCCCATCCCTCATTGTTTCAGGACTTCACAGAGAGCGTTTCCTCCACCTTCCATCAGCATCATGCGCTGGATCTGAACCACAGATGGCTGCAAGCGCTGAATGAATGGACGCAGCAGAAACGCGCGGCCTGGAAGCGCATTTCACACTTCCAGCGCTTTCACGGCGCACTACTCTATTCTGGGCTTCCCTGCTAAGTTGTTGCACACTTTATCATGCCTTACAGTGGGATATCAGGGAACAAACACCGACTGGACAGCGGGAGCGACGATTAGCGGATCTGTGACTTATTTTGTTTGTTTTTCTGGGACTGATCTTTTACAGAAACGGGGAAGTCTGAGTGACTTTACGCACAAGATCTTCCTCCTCCAGAGCTACTGATCGGGATATTCTACTGAGGATTAGTGCGCAGCGGGATGTCGGTGGAAATCCCCAACGATTTCTGCCCAGATTTAAATGAGCTGGAAAATAAGATCGGAAGGAAAACGCCGGAAAGCCTCCTGGTTTGGATTAAGGATGCGGCGGATTGGGAGGACAGATTAGCATCGGATGCGCTGCACAGAGAAGAAGAGAGCAGCTCGGATGGATTATCTGATAAAATCAACAGTTTAAGACAAGAGATGGTAAAGTGTTTTTGATGCGCAGCTCTCCATTTCTCCCCCCTGAGTCCTTACTGTCTGACACAGCTAAAAGTTGCCAAACTTGTTGGATCCATCGCTGATCTGTTCCTCTGAACTTTACCTGCTCACTTGTTTTTCTCTGACTGCTCAGGCTGTCACACCCATCACCTGTATCTCTCCTCTCCCTCCTTAGTTTGCACATTCTTTCCAGATTCTGTCTCTGATCCTTCCTCATTCCTCCTCTCACTGTTAATCTTTCATGCCACTTTAACTGAACACTCAGGCCTTGCTTGCTGGGTGACATGCTTAACCCTTCATACATGAAGCCTGATAACCTGTCAGGATATATTTACCCTTTATTCTACCATCAAGAACATTTTTCAGAATATTTTCATGGGTGAATTAATAATAATGTACAAGAATATACTGAAAATCTGAATATCTCTAAATATGAAAAAGCAGTTTATTTTATCAATTAAATCTAAAGCTGAGCTTATATTCATAATACACAAAGGGAATTTTATTGCAATTGTGTTATTTTCTCTTATTCGACCAATAAAGCAGAAATGACCCACTAAGTGCTCCACAGTGCTTGGCATGGCAGCACTGTTTGATAAGATTTGTTTCTCATCTTTGTTTCTAAAATCCCAATGTATCCGATGCAGGTTTTCAGGTCAGACCAGTATAATGGCCAATCAAACACAGAGATATAATCAATCTTAAAGCCAGTTTTGGTACCTGTGTCACTGGGGACAGATAGTCTTCTTTCTAAGTGAAACCAGCATATCCATAAAGCTCAGCAGCAAAGTTTCCTGGTACAGTAAATACTACGTTGATATTGGATTGCAGAAAACCCAGAGACCAACATCAGATCTGTCAGAATCATTACTGTCTGTTGAAGCTTTGCTGTGGACTTCAAGGAGCTTAGATTATGTCATTTGTTGTCCTTCCTCTAGTTGTTTCCAAAAGTTGGGGTCATGACCCCACTTGGAGTCCTTGATCTTTAGAGCTATACGGTACTACAGTAATTAAACTAAATAATAAACATTAAAGTGTTTAAAGATATTAAAACACCACCTAAATGGACAAAACCAACAAATTTGGGTTTTTATGTTCCTTGCTGTGTTTTTACAGTGTAAAGGAAGAAAATATTCTAACATAGTTAACTTTGGAAAAAGATTGGCTTCTGATTCTTCCCTTCCCCAGGTACACTCGGCGAGCTGCGTTTGGTAATAAAACCAACATTGCGTGTTGACGTCACAGAATTACAGAGTTTAATCCAATATAAGACAATGCATACACTTTAGAAATAAGACAATGCACAAACCTACACCAGAAACTGCAGAACAACAGAGACATACATTCCATTACCTGACATAGGAGGAAAGAAAGAAAAGAGTACAGAGACATCTTTGGAGAGTTGCAAGGGCAAATCTGATCTTTTTCTTCTATTTAGAAAGCTTTATCCTCTTGTATCTAATCCATTCAAAAAGGGGCTGGCCCTCGGTCCTCCAACCAAACGCCATCTCTGACACTGCTAGGGCTTCCCCTTATTTACTGCAAACATCTGGGGTCATTTGCTTCTTTGTTTTAACAAGAAAAGGCGGAAAGCTTGTCCTGGCATCTAGAATTCCTAAAGTCATAAAACACAAGATAAGCTCTCACAGACAGCTTGTGGAATGCGGGGGGCCTCACCATAAATTTTCAGGAACAAACTTAAATTTAGTAATCTGGTTCAAGGAAAGGTTATCTTCACAAACTTGTTCAAAATAAGAAATATGAGAAAAGGAGAGTATACAACATACCTTTTACACATGCCATAAGATTAACTGTAATAAAGTCTAAAAAATAATCATTTTTCTTTAACAGTCCCCGTTTTGAGGTCTGAGACATACAGACCTCACAAATAAAATGATTAAGCCTTCTAATAGAGGAACCAAAAAATTATTTAGTATACTAAAAACTAAAACATTAGCCCAATTTTATAACAGTCCCCTTTTTTAAACAGCACCTCCTAGGTCCCCTGCCAGGCCATGTGTCTAAAGCTGAACTCCATAATCTAAACTTATCAAATGTATCTTGCGCTGTCCAACAATTTAATACTCACCTGATGAACCACAAAATTTTAACCAGTAAAAACTAAACTAAAAATACATTTCACTTATCAAATATGAAAAATCATAAAACTCAGTTATCTGAAAGAGAAGCAAACACACAATAGGAATATGAGCCCAGAATATGAAATAAAAAAAAATAAAAGTAAGATATCTCAAAATTACTAAAAAATGCTCAGCAGACTTAAAAGACAATATTCACCACAAAAACTACAATTTGTCAATAAAAAACAATAACAACATCAAGAAATACATCATAAACACATAAAAATTACAAAATAGCATAAACAAATAAAAATTACAAAATAGTTTTTTTTTTTTTTCACAATTCAATAATAAGAAGTTAGAGTTCGTCTCTATGCTCCTTCGATAGTCTTTCAAAAATGAATATGAATTCTTCGTCAGGAAACGATCCAAAAATACGCGCAAAAAGAAACGAATGTTCTTGAAGAGTTCGCAAAAAACGAAAACACGCAATAAAGAGAAGATAAGTTAATGATGATCTTGTAGCTGGATCCTTCACGTGTTCCTCCTCGGTTGTAAACCTCAGGTTTTCCACCTGAGTGTCCGTTGCTCACTGAAAATTGGAGTATTATGCCAATTTAACAGTGAGTTTAAGGAGAGGGTGCAATCTCCTTTTCTCAATGGAAGGACACCGGAACAGGATTATTGTGCCTGTCTGGGCCTTTTAAGCCTTGTAATTCAGGAAAATGAAGTGGTTTTGGCAGACTTCTGCCCGGAAATGCAGATCCTCCTCCGCGCTGTGATGGCCCTCAGACACTCCTCGACCGCAGGTTGAGACTGTAGATTCTCCTGTATGCCCTGCAGCGTGCGTTGTGGCTCCTCAGCTGACTCCAATGGAACCACGTGTCTCCTTCTCTCTTGTAGACGGACAGCCTGAGATGTACTCTCCACGACTCGGTATGGTCTGGCGAAGCGAGGTTCAGACCACTTTCTTTTGATGACCATCAGGCGCACCCAGTCGATTTCCCGAACTGATCCCGAGCCTGGACGTTCCTGTGACGTCTGGTATTTTGTAAATTCTGCTGCCAGGACCTGTAACTCATTGAAGAAATCTTTATGAGATAAATGTGCAAGCTTACCTTTCCATCCTGGAATGCGGGTAGCAGGTCCTGGAAACATCCGTCCTGTCTGGAGCTCATATGGAGAGAACCCTGTTGATTGGTTAATGATTGATCCTACACTTTATGACAGCTTCACTGTCTTCCTTTTGTATTATAAATCTGCTACTTTGGAGTTGTATTTTATCAATCCTTTGACCCTCTTTTTATATAAGGCCTACATGAGAAATGAAAGTTTCCTATCATGTTAAACCCAAAATTTAACTGTATTTTAGAAGCAGTTCCATAACTGTTAATTTGTAAATTTCCAATTTAGACCAATTTAATTTCAATCATCATATTTTCTATTTTTTAAAACCTTAAAGAATGATCAGCCTGCTTTACATGAGTCACTAAATATCAAAAATGACCTACTTTATTCCAATCATATTTTAAATCCCAAAAATTTCAACCATTTTTACCTTTGATCCATTTATTCATTTGAAAACCTATTTATAAAATATTTAATTGAATAATGTATTACCCTTTTTATATTGTTTATCAATTATCAATGCCTTTTCAGTTTTGGAGAGAGATTCAATACAGCTAAATTTATTAAATGATGTAAATCTTTAGTTTAGACCTTCCTGGATGTCTTAGTTAAACAACTTATTTTAAAACATATGAATAGAGATACAACAATCCAATGATCACCTTCCTTAGTTTAAGAACACTATTTTATGTAAATTATTTGATAGTCAATATTTTGTTTAGTATATTCAATTTATACATTTTACTTATTTCATATCCAAATAGTTAGCTCATCTTTAATGCTGCTAATACACCGTAAAACATTTAATGTATTTTGATTTAACTTCAATAACCTCTTTTTCCGAAAAGTAAATGCAGAGATCCAAACTAAAAATTTGCCTATCAGATCAATTCCATTCATGTCCCCCTGTTTCTATAACAGAACAAATGTTCTGTCATAGAATACAATAAAAATCCTATACAACTCATTGAGATGAAATCCGCTATCACCACTAACTTTAGCCTCATGTAACACAGTTGGATGCAATTCAAACACGGTGTCCCAGATGCTGTTACAATCTGCACACCTCAAGCAAAGAATTTAATGTTTGATTAAATTTATGAAATCAACACAGAACTTGGTGTCATTTGCTCAGTAAGTCAGTCTATAGACACCCAATCCACTTTAACACCTTAATTTCAAATTCCATTTAAATTTAAATTTAGTTTTACTGAATGGTAGCCACTGTACTATGCAAATAAAAATTTAGATCATCTTCCTTAGTAGATGAAGCGTAACACACAATGCAATTCAGCTATAGTTAAAAAAGAATGTAATTGCAATCGTTAGTCCCTGCCCATTCTTTTCAGGCAGGAAAGGAAAAAAAAAACACACTAGCATTTTGTGAGACAAACAGAGTGAATCATGGAGGAATGCAGTGTCGTAACAGTTGGTGCACACCAACCCCTAACTGCATCGTAAAACCTCTGACCCCAGGAGATGGGGTTGTCCTCAACACCTAGAATTACACTGCAGGGCTGCAGGACGTGAAGAAAACAGGGCGCCTCAGTGCTATATCTAAAATAAGAAGAGAACAATGGCATCACACACTACAAAAATTTAAAGAAAAGAACTTATTCACCACTACCAAGTTGTGTTGGCACCCATTTCGTCTCCAACCTGCAGACTGAAGGGAACCCCAGGAGTGGGCCCTGGCGCCCAGGTCACATGATCAGAGGTGAGAATCCAGGATCAAACATGAGAACACACAACAGGACCACCGCTGAGCGACTTGCC